TATTTCTACACTATCCTCTATTATTATACGAATCACTATTTCTACTCTATCCTCTATTATTATACGAACACTATTTCTACACTATCCTCTATTATTATACGCATAACTATTTCTATACTATTCTCTATTACTATACGAATCACTATTTCTACACTATCCTCTATTAATATACGAATCACTATTTCTACACTATCCTCTATTACTATACGAATCACTATTTCTACACTATCCTCTATTACTATACGAATCACTATTTCTACACTATCCTCTATTACTATACGAATGACTATTTCTACATTATTCTCTATTAATATACGGATCACTATTTCTACACTATCATCTATTATTATACGGATAACTATTTCTACACTATCATCTATTATTATACGATCACTATTTCTACACTATCATCTATTATTATACGGATAACTATTTCTACACTATCCTCTATTATTATACGATCACTATTTCTTCACTATCCTCTATCATTATACGATCACTATTTCTACACTATCCTCTATCATTATACGATCACTATTTCTTCACTATCCTCTATCATTATACGATCACTATTTCTACACTATCCTCTATCATTATACGATCACTATTTCTTCACTATCCTCTATCATTATACGAATCACTATTTCTACACTATCCTCTATTACTATACGAATCACTATTTCTACACTATCCTCTATTAATATACGAATCACTATTTCTACACTATCCTCTATTAATATACGAATCACTATTTCTACACTATCCTCTATTAATATACGGATCACTATTTCTCTACTATTCTCTATTACTATACGAATCACTGTTTCTACTCTATCCTCTATTATTATACGGGTCACTATTTCTACACTATTCTCTATTACTATACGGATTATCATTCTACATACTATTCAATATACTATTTCTCTATACTGATTACTATAAGGATCATTATTCGGTGGTTACTATTCGAGGGAGTACTATCGATCAAGTACTATTAGTGCGTGTGCTATTCGAAGGCCTCTGACACTAGTATTGTTCAATGGCGTTATTATAGTTTTATCTGCGATTACAAAGTTTCTACAATAACGAGAATTACGAAAGTGACAACGAGTGTTCATTGACATCACAAAGTAATTAATCAAGCGAGACAAGCTTGGTGAATATTACACTACATCAAACTGCCCAATGGGATTTTCTAAGTGTAGCTTAAATGCGTCACATGGTCGCAAGTATGGAGCAACCCGTGAGTATCGAACCCAGTATTCAGTCGTAATTGATATCGCAAGAGAAGATTGCTAACCATTACACTACGTTTAGTTACCAACTGGCGATTTTCCAAGTGTAGTTTAGATGTGACATAAGGCCGAAAGAGTAGGGCAGCCAGTGAGGATAGTAGTAACAATTCAGTCGTAATTTATTAACGGTCATAAGCTTACTAACCATTTCGCCACGTCGAAATACCCAACTGAATAATGATACTATGAGGGCATCTGAATAAATGATGCAGTCAAAATGGATATATATATATATATATATATATATATATATATATATATATATATATATATATATATATATATATATATATATATATATATATATATATATATATATATATATAGAGACTATTCGCAGATGCGAATTGAGTCACTGTCGGTCACTGGGCGTGTTTCTAAAAATAAATACGCTAAAAAATCCACTTTCATCCCTACCGACGGCTTAATGGTTAGAATCTCCGACTGACACCAATTCAGTCGGGTTTCGATCCTAGCTAGAGGCAACCGGATGTCTAACCACATTGATGAGCTGTGAAACAGCGAAACAGTCTGTCTGTGGATGACGTTATATATATATATATATATATATATATATGTGTGTGTGTGTGTAAAAGAACGAAAAGAATATAAGTTCTTAACCTTAATTTAAAAAAAGGGAAAAATACAAGAGTAGAACAATAAGTATTTATTATAGACAGTTACATTGGGATATGTAAGCTAACACGACAAAAATGCATATTTGTATCGACGTCTAAAGACGTCTTATCAGGTGGTGAACGGTCGATGACCACCTGACGAGACGTCTTTACACGTCAAAACAATTATGCATTTTTGTGTTAACTAGCATGTTCCAATGTAACAGCTTATAATGTATACATACATGCATACATACATGCATACATACATACATATATACATACATATATACGTATTATACATAGTCCGTCATGGGCTTTATATATATATATATATATATATATATATATATATATATTTTAAACAGCGCCTGAAATGATTCCTGTTATGATATTTATGATATATATATATATATATTATTTATGTATGATATAATATAATGATGATCATATATATATTTTTTATATATATATATATATGTATATATATACAATATAATATAATGATGATCATATATTTATATATTTATATATATATATATGTGTGTGTGTAAACTGCCGCTGAGATGATTTCTGTTGTCTTTGACACATCGCAAACGGAGAATGTAAAATCCGTTTCACATGGGAAAATTTAATTCTCGTGTTATTATCTAATCGGCAATTCATTACACACTTCTCAAGACTTGTTCCATTCAGACGACTTGGTTTATTCTTTGTCTATTTATCAAGTGAGAAAACAGAATAAAATATATAATTAATTGCCCAATTAATCTAAAAAAAAGAGAGTTGTAATGTTTATAGACAACATGGGAAATGACTGGATAACGATGCTATGAGCGTCTCTGAATAAATGATATTGTCAAAAATAATTGCGGAAAATTTCGTGTCAGCATTTTATCCAATATTGATTTTTATATTAATATTATTTTAAACCTGAATCATTCTGGTAGCAGGATAATTCATGGCAACTTCCTTTCTTTGTCAAAATTTACAAGATTCTTCCTGCTTTTAATTTACTCTCTGGCATCATACGATGTTTTAATACCATATATTTTTCATTGATATATATATATATATATATATATATATATATATATTACATTATTCTGACATTTAATCTAACAAGATATATATATATATATATATATATATATATATATATATATATATATATATATAATTTTTTTTTAAATCTGAATTCATTGAAAGCGAAAAAAAGCAATAATTTATGACACATTCTTAATTTCTTTTCAGCATTTAAATTCCTGATTTATACGTATGTTCCGGTACGCAAAAACTCAATCCTCAATTCAAGTAGGAAATACACATAAATATCAGCTTTGAGACAAAATACGCCCAGGTTAGAACTGTCGAAGGCAAAAAAAAAAAAAAAATAGCGTCGAATATTTTGTTCAACAAAATTTTCAAGTGTATTGCCTAGACATTTTTCAACGTTAATAAAATTGTAATATGATGCCGACAGTAAAACACCAAGGAAGCCGAGTGCACCAGAGGATTGACATTAGGTCAGTCCCGTCCACTGAATGCTGAAGTACGTGGATCCTTGAAAGCCTCAGAACGAGAATGTTGGACTGAGGGGCATGGGCAAGCGATAGATGAATTTTTTGTATCAACAATTTCAGTGGGGGGATCTATCACAAATTGGGAAAAAAGGACTAAAACTCAATATTTATATGAAGAGGAAAAATATATTGAAGATACTTTCAAGCCTATCCAATACCTTAATTATTTCGTCTTCAACTGGAAGCAAAAGTCTCATGATATATTTAACAATATAGAAGCAGAGGTTTCTGACAAAACTACGAATCAAAATATATTGTTCCACCCACCAAATACTATCACAGCTACATATAAAAAAAAAGACAGAACGCATGGAGATCAATAAATGCGATTTGCAGGCCGGGGACTATAATATCAAGCATGTGCGGAAGTTTATGTTACAAATTCATGACGGTCGTCCTCGAGTATAGAATCAAGAGGTTGGCAGTGAATATTTCGGAGACAGTAGGAAAGCGTAGTTCAGGTTCGCAGTGAATATCGCAGCAAAGTAGCAGAGTGTAGTTCTTCCGTCTGTCATGTTCGCCTGACAAGTTGGCTCTGGTCATTCCGGTAGGGTAAACAAAGATGGCCGCCTTTATACACGACGGATACAATGTTCTGCGGCTTCTGATTGGTCAACCTTCTATTAGTAGACTATAAAGGGAATTAAGTCATTTTGACTAACTCACTAGTTACACAGTATATATACACAAAAAACTGTAACAGTTTAAATATCTGGGAAGTGTTCTGACGAAGGACGGTAGGTCCGAAGCTGAGATCCGAAGATGGATTGGGATGGCCAAGGACGGATTCCAGAGGCTGGTCAGAGTATTGCGAAACAGGAGGATTTCTAGGGTGACAAAGAAAAGGGTACTGAGCTGCTCCGTGAAATCTGTCCTCCTATACGAATATTGGACGGTATCCTCAAGGATGAAGAAGAGACACGAGGCGGCGGAGATATTGTTCTACAGAAGGATGCTGAGGATATCATGGACCGAGGATGTGAGCGACGATGGGGTCTTGGAGAGGATGAAACAAGGAGGAAGCTTATAATTAACATAAGGTAGAGTCAGATGAAATTTCTGGGACACGTGATGAGAAAAGAGGACTTGGAGAATCTGATACTCACGGGACGAATAGAGGGGAAAAAAAGCTGGGGAAACCAGCGCATGACATACGTACCGGACTTGGCAGGTGGATGGCGGAGCGTAGTCTGGGGGAGTTGGCAGAAACACAAAACCTGTTGAGAGCCACAAGGGCTAGAGAAAAGTGGAGAGCCATGATCGCCTACGCCCTGAAAGGACACGGCGTCTAAAAAGAAAGAAGTATTGCCTAGAAAATCAGAATTCTGTGTCTATACCTCAGATTGAACCATAGACTCTGGCATTGATTAGAATTCTAAAACGCTTTGAGACACAACTACAGTCTTTTTTCCTTTCAGAAGAGAATGTCGGTTCGTAAACATCGCCAATGGACTGCATTTTAAAATTCCGCACCACATCAGATACAAATTCAGAGATTTCTATCGATGCTTGGCTGGTTTTGTACACCTGAGCCTGCTTTCCACCTGTTGTTATTGGCTAGACGTGCCGGCCGTAGTCATAAATCCGAAAGACAAAGTCTATTGACATTTACAATAGCACTGGGAAATAAAGAAAGCGCCTTTTGTTCTATGGAATAGACAGGTGGCAGACAATGATGGATGAAAGAATACAAATACCAAAAGTTTTCTGAACAATGTGGAGGTCCATCGCTTTCATTACCAGCTTTTGTTGTTGTTATAGTTGCTCAGGAGAAAATTATGGAATTGTAGATGAGATAATATAGTTTTAAAATAAAGAGAGTCAAGGGAGAGTGAATGCGTAGAAGAAAGAATTTAGCATAAGAGAGAAAGCGTTGTGAGAAGACAGCTAAACAGTCTTTAGTATTCAAGCCAATATTTTCACAATGAAATTGGGATTATCCAACTGATATTGATCAGGGATGTGCGGCTGGCGCATAATAGCCCGACATGAGAAAGGGGCGAAGCTCATGAAACCAATAGCGTCATGATCATTCAAACGGGTCACATCTCCCGTTACCCTCAACCTCTGGGCCAGTTTGGTAGGGTAATGAGCCAACTTCCAACAAAGGACATTCCCGGGTTAAAAAGAAGAGGTGTAGGTCGAATTCTATGGATATACTTACGTAAAATATATTTTAAGAATTATAGATTATTTTATAGTGGTCGGCTACTCGATTCTAAGAACACCCACAATCTATGACAGCTAGTAAATCCCTGCTGCAGACGCCTGTTCGGGCACATTTGTTTGCAGTTTATACTGCAAATATGAGAGTTTCTGGATAATAACGTATCTGGTGTGATCACTTGTTAGAACAAAGATAGTTCATTCAACCCTCGGCCATGATGATTTGCGACTTCCGGTTACAACAACAATAGATAGCAGACGAACAGTTTTATTTTATTTTGCCCAATTTCATTCACAATGTCATATAGTTTTCAGACGAGGTATAGTTTGTTTCTAGTGGCGTGTAACATTGCAACGTGGTTGACCATTGGGATCATCCCTCTAGATCAGTGCTTCTTTTTTTAATCCGTGCCGTATTTTCGGAATGAAAATTTGCTCGCTTCCCACCAAATTTTATTTGATAAAAAGTACATGTAAAAATAAAAATAAAACAGAGAGTGAATTAAGGGGAGATAACTGCAGATTTGAAGTCAGAACATTATCTTGATAACTCTCTCCTCAAATTTGCAGAGCCGAGTTACTATATTCTTAATACTTGATATAATGCAAAAATCACAATGATAAAATCGGTCAATGATTATTTATAACTATTTATACTGGGGCTGATGCATGCAATTACAAGTAATCCATAATAATATTTTAAATTTTGAAATCATTTTTAATTTTTGGCATATGAATTTTTAAAACTATTTCTAGATCTTTGATTGTCTTTCAGTCATTCTGCCTCACTTGCTATTCTCTTTCGCCTCATCTGCGATCCTCTTCCGTCTTATCTGCTATCCTCTTGCACCTCACCTGCTATCCTCTTCCGCCGCATCTGCTACACTCTTCCGCCTCACTTGCTATCTTCTTCCGATGCACCTGTTTATCCTCTTCGGCCTTCCCTGCTACCCTCTTTCGCCTCATCTGCTATCCCCTCCTGCCGCACCTGCTATCTTCTTCCACCTCACCTGCTATCTTCTTCAGCCTGACCTGCTGTCCTTTTCTGCCTCACCTGCTATCCTCTTTCGCCTCATCTGCTACACTCTTCTGCCGCACCTGCTATACTCTTCCGCCTCACTTGCTATCTTCTTCCGCTGCACCCGTCTATCCTCTGCGGCCTCCCCTGCTATCCTCTTTCGCCTCATCTGCTATCCCCTTCAGCCGCACCTGCTATCTTCTTCCGCCTCACCTGCTATCTTCTTCCGTCTCACCTGCTATCTTCTTCAGCCTAACCTGCTATACTCTTCCGCCTCACCTGCTATCCTCTTCCGCCTCACCTGCTATCTTCTTCAGCCTGACCTTCTATCCTCTTTCGCCGCAGCTAATAGGAACGCCGCACCATTTGGGAAACAATACCCTAGTTCGATAACATCAAGAAGTCAACTCCCAGAAAATTCTAATCCGCGTTACATGGACGGAAAGCGAACTTTCTAAACACTCAGCTACGCGGTCAGCTTATCTTTATTTAATAGTATCATCGATTATGATTTCTTTTGTGGGTGTCAGTTATTATCTATGCTGACAAGTTAAGTGCAACATATTTTTTATTCATTTATAAATAAATCCAAATACTAAAGGTCATCGAAACAGAGATTTGTTTAACAAAATGAAAGTGTAGTAAAACAAAGTGAAACCAAACGACTGTCAACTACAAGAAGGCTGAAATTTATGGTCATCAGCAAGAAGAAAACCCCAAAATACGAGTTACGAATTGCAAATGTCAACACGAGGCAACTACAGAAATTTAAATATCTGAGAAGCGTTGTAACAAAAAATTGGTCAAACATGAACTGGATCAGCAGTGGAAATTCTAATCAAAACACTGAGAAGCGGGAAAATTTTTTCAGAAAAAAAAATGCTTGATTGCTATGCGATATCGATCCATTTACATGGCAATGAATGCTGGATAATCTCCTCACACATTAAAAGAAATCTGGACGAAAAAAGAAATGTAGTTCTACGGCAGGATAATGAGTATTCCACGGACGGAGCCTGTAAGCAACGAGTATGTCTTCAAGAAAATGGGCACAAAAATAACAATTACACTCATAATCAGGAGGAGACAGCTGAAATATATAATGAGGATGGAAGGCTTGGAAAACATAAGCCTCACAGAGCATACTGAGGACAAGAAAGTTAGGGAAAAGCAACGAGCCACTTACCTAATAAACTTGTGTGAAAGGACTGCAGAATGGAAGATAGGATCTTAGCAAAGGGAGAAAAATAGGAAGTTGTGGAGAGCCATGATCTAAACGGTTGCGGCATATAGATGAAAAAGTCATAATCATCACGAATATATTAAACAACATAAAAAATAAAACTATGAATGCTGAAGCGATTATTAAGAAACCATGAAAGAAAAACCAATGAATAGAAATATACTTAATATATTCGCTAATTAAAATGCACAAAAGCTCATTCCATGAAATAACGTAAGCGGACTTATATTTGTTGTAAGCGGCCCAAAAACGGTACCGACAATACCTCAATTTGCAAAAGAATGCCTTTTCATACAACCAAATGCTCTGATGAAAGAAAGTAAAAAACAAAATATAAAAAAAAAACAACTATAAAACAAACAAAACAAAAACGAACTATATAGACGATTTTTCATTAATTTCAAAACCCTAATATATTACTTTCTCCGGAACGACCACTTGCTGAAAAGAAAGAATTCATATCCCCGTTAGAAGCAAACATCATTTACCTTGTAGTAAAGAACAGAAAATTACTAGTAAAAATGGCGGTAGAGAAACGGCTTGCGGTTGGGATTGAGAAATCAGGGAAGTCGACTTCATTACATTCATTTACATGCTAATATCCGTGTAAAAAGTATAAACACATCTCTTCTTCCAACAGATATGCATAAATAGTAAGACAGACTGGATTCTATAGCCTTGGATGGCAACCTGTCTAGGAGAAGGAAAAAACTCTGGCAAAGCATATACTATGCAGGGAAAGAAAGGATTGTTCGCATTTCAACTCTTGCTAGCTATAGGAAATAGTAAAACAGACTGGGTATATATATATATATATATATATATGTATATATATATATATATATATATATATATATATATATATGCAGAAACATATATATATATATATATATGTTTGTGCATATATATATATATATACATATTTAATATATATATATATATATATATATATATTACTGACAACTGCATCTATGACGCATACACATTTAGACACAATTTCAGTTGTAAGTTATATATATATATATATATATATATATATGTGTGTGTGTGTGTGTGTGTGTGTGTGTGCGCTCGCGCGTGTGTATATGTGTGTGTGTCTTACGGAGAGATCATGTTGGAACGCCGGTCCCAGTACTATCACTGAAGTTAAGCAATTTCGGCATTTTTTGGCATCTTGTATATCTGGCTGGGGTAAAAGATAATGGCCGAAATTGGGAATCGGACAGCCGAATTCCGGTTCCAGTTTGATTCTTTATTTTCACACTCTTCCTCCCCCCCACCTATGGTTTCATTAGTAGGACATGTATTAGTAAATCATCATTATATTCCCCACCCACAAAAAAATATTTCAATCTAACAATATTTTCTGGCTTTAAATAACCTGCTATTATATATATATATATATATATATATATATATATATATATATATATATATATATATATATATGTGACTAATAAATATACATTTTGTTCTTCACTGATATAAAATGGTTGTAATATATATATATATATATATATATATATATATATATGTGTGTGTGTGTGTGTGTGTGTGTGTGTGTGTGTGTGTGTGTGTGTGTGTGAGCATGTACACACATACAGAGTCGCTCATGTATATATATGGCTTTGTGCGTCCGGCCATTAATACTGGTTACAAATAACCCTCATCTGCGCAGCCAGCACCTACGTATTTTATGAAAAGAGGCATTTTTGTACCTGATACAAATTCACAAATCGATGTAAAATTGATTTGGATACAATTCAAGATATTTTCTAGGTACGTTCGTAAAATTGCACATAGAAACAAGACTAAACGACCTTTATGTAATAGCTCTTTTATATTCACACACAGATACACACTAACATAAACTCACACACACACACACACACACACACACACACATATATATATATATATATGTAATGTGTAACAATACTATGTAGAGTTAGCGCAAAACGAAATCGCAACAACAATAGGTCAAATGCAGGACATGCCAAAAAATTGTAAAAAGTATCCAACGACGTATATCGGCGAAACGTCTAGACATTTACATAAAAGACTATACGAGTGTCGCATATATATATATATATATATATATATATATATATATATATATATATATATATATATATATATATATATGGGTGTAACAGCAAAATTGTCCAACTCGTGTTACAACATAATTGTTCATTCCACAGAATGTTTAATATCTGAAAAACTCTAAACTTATTGAGTTTTCAGATAAGACATTTAACTATTTTGACTCAATTTGTCATAAGAATCACTAAAAAAACCTTTTAGCTGTTCAGCTAGAAACTGGACGTGTAAAAATCATTTTCTGTTAGCCCCACTACGTCTTCTCAACTGAGCATTGGTGAGAGGAAAAAGAACATCCAGGCCTTCAGCACTTGTGCCAACATTCAATACTTTGGTTTCTATCCTCAAAATCCATGCAAGAATCACCCAGAGAATAGTGAATAAGTTTTAAAAAAAAGGAACATTCGAGAGGCAAACTGGATCAGGAGGTTACAACAGGAAGAGGGATCATCATATCAACTTAGAGCTAAAGAGATCAATTAGAAAAGATCCAACTCATTTCATAAGACATTTGGCACGTGAGAGAGGAGTTTTACCTATGACAGTTCAAACAACAGCGAAAAAAAACAAACTCGAAAATGAAATCGTACGTGAAACCTGTGAGGCATCTGTTTACTCCAGGACAGAAAGTTTAGAGAGAGGGAAGATAATCTTGACTAATTTTGCAAATGGTCCTGGAACACACACACACACACACACACACACACACACACACACACACACACATATATATATATATATATATAATATGTGAAAATATATACAAAATAGGAAGGAACTGGTTAGGTAAATAATCCAAAGTCCCTTAGTATTTTAGTTATTATTTTTTAAAAATAGTGCTCGATACAAAAGTAGAGCATAAATATAATTATTTATTTAAAAATATGATTCCAAAACGCGACATAAGAAGTCTCCTGTTTTAAAACAAGAGCCGAAAACTTCAATATAATTATTTAAATTAAATTGAGTTAAAATAAGCTCTGTTCCATCTTCAAGCGAAATTTTTTTGGAAAAAACTTGAAGTTTTCGGCTCTTGTTTTTGGAAAAAATTTCACTTGAAGATGGAACAGAGCTTATTTTAACTCAATTTAATTTAAATAATTATATTGAAGTTTTCGGCTCTTGTTTTGGAATCATATTTTTAAATAAATAATTATATATATATATATATATATATATATATATATATATATATATATATATATATATATATATCAATTACTTTCAATTCCCATCTTCAGGGGTTGCATATCTGTGTGATGGATAAATTGTCATCTAAATTACGTAGAAATATTATTTTACGACATATACTTACCAATTATACAGAAAAATATTTCGAAATAGTAAAGAGTAAATTTATTCCATAAAATCGTCTTTGGCTTCAACCACGTCCTTCAGATGACTTTGGGATCTCCTGCATCTCTTCTGGACGGTCTCTTTGTTAAAATTGGTGAATGCTGTTAAAATCCTTGCCTTCGCTTCATCTTTGGTGTTACATGGAGTGTTTTTGGTCTCTCGCTCATCTGTGATAATAAACAAGGGTGTGATGTGGCTGCAGAAATTGTCTGACAACTATTACTGGGTCCTACTGATAGAGTATCTTCCAGCAGCCTCACACTAGACCCAGGGTAACGCTACCTCCTTGATGTAGACCTCCGTGTTGATCACGGGGCCCTGTGACACCCAAAATGAAATGTTCGTTTTGGAGCTTCTGGCACGAATGCAAAGCAGTACAGTATGCCGTTTCCAAATTTCTGGTAGAGTGAATTGCGTCATGGTGCAATTTTTCTCATAGCCAGTGCCCAAGAGAGTTCATATATATATATATATATATATATATATATATATATATATATATATATATAATTATTTATTTTATATGTATATGTAAATAAATATATATAGAATATAAATATAATTATTTTGCCATTTTAGATCTTGGCTGGATGATCTACCCCCCCACTGTGTGAGTTTGTTTTGCTTGTCAAATTGAACTCGTCTAATGGTATATAAGGTAATCATCTTATTACTGCAAGTTACT